GTACTATTCCACATCCTATTGGTTACTTACAAGAAAACGTAACGGTGCCATTTATTTATTTTTTTTTTTTATTTTAATTTTTTTTTATGCTTTTAGATCTTCAGGGCACAGAAAGGGGCAGAGGTCAACATAAAGCATATGAGTTCCAAAGACCGATATATACTAAATTAAGAATAAATTATGATTAGTCTGTATATGTTGCAATCTTTATATTTACAAATAAAATGTAAATATAAAGATTATATTTACAAATTTACAAAAGTAAATTTGCTGAAAATTATAACAATTGCCCCTACTTAACTGTTTTAATAGAGCAGAGGTAAATGTAAAACCAATGATCCACAACAACAGATATTTCCTAAAATGTAAATGTTTCTGATTAGTCTGTCTTAGTTGCAGTCTTTATATTTGCAAATGCTAACATAAATGTTCATTTCAAATATTTTTCTTAACATTTTGTGTTTCCTTTCTGCAGTTGGCCAAGAAGATTCGCGAAAAGTTTAACCGCTACCTGGATGTGGTGAACAGAAACAAGCAGGTGGTGGAGGCGTCCTACACGGCCCACCTCACCTCTCCGCTCACAGCGATACAGGACTGCTGCTCCATACCTGCATCCATGATGGAGTGAGTCATTTTCCCTCAAAAACTACTAGAAAACCACAAATTTCATCTTTTATGTCATAAGGAAGAAGATCTGCAGGATGTTTTATTATTGTGTGTAAATACACCTCCAGGACAGCATTCAACCATCTATAGAGGAGTTTTTCATCCTAGTACCCAAACTTATCACCAGCTTAGATATAGTTTGATAATCACATGATTTGTCATAACAGGGTACATCACATCTTACTGCACTGAGCAGAATAAACTTGCCGTAAAACATGGTAGCGTTTTTATGAGTTGAATTTCATTTCAGGCATGGAAGCATTGCACACTGCAGGGCATAAATAATGTGTAGGATCATAGAGTCCCAGACTGCAGACTTTGGGAAATAACAATGTTTGCATCAACTTTATAGTGGCATATATATTAAAATTTACTATTAAGTCTTGATAAGTTTATGCAATTTGCTTTTTCCTAAAAATAAATAGGGATTTTTAAACAGTTCCAGTGCAGGAGACTTGTTCTTATTTTTTTAAAAACTTGATATAAGGTTAAATATTTCCCATTTGAGCCTTTTGCAGAGAGTTTAAAATTGGTCCGGTCTACTATCGACCAGGCTTTTTCTCAGCCAATCATCAACTCCAGCAGGCGAAAACACAGCTCAAAAGCTGAGCACAGAAAAAGACAGCACAGTTTTCAGTTCTAATCTACAGAGCCGCAGCTGTCTCTTCCCTTCATCCGCGCTCTCTCCATTTCTCTCTATCTCCCTCCCCTTTATCAGCCAATACAACTAGTCACTCTCTCTGAAGTTTTTGCACTGCAGACTTCACAGGCTGCTAGGTCACCTGTCTTTCCTCCCGTCATACAGAAAGTGGGGGTGGGGACGGTTGTCTGGCTCAGAGCCACCAGCCACCTGTAGCCACACCAAGTGCTCAGCATACTGGACATGCATTCAGTGCTTGTTCACTCTCAGTTAGCTGTATGTTTTTGCTGCAACATGTTCATTTTAACAAAGTGCTAAAAAAGAGGGGTTTGCAGCTTTATGAGACTGAAATGGGTAAAAACATTGTTCAGGATAAAAGATGTGTATAAAATCTTTGGCAGGTAATAAGGTGTGATGCAGGGGAGTCACAATGGAGGTGGTGGTGATAGATGTGCCAAACTGAAGCTGAGTCTGATAGATCTCTGAACTTCAAAGCATTTTCCCCAAGGGAGCAGGAAAACTTACCTCTCTTGCTCTTATTTCTCTCATTTTGAATCTGCACATGATCATAAAACACTTGAAAAAAAATATGCCTGGCAAAAAGAAAAAAAATATAGATTTTTTATCTTCAGAGCTATACATGAGAAAATGCTGTAAACTTTATTTTCTTCCCTTTTATGTCCTCTTTATACAAAGAACATGCAATATACTGAGCATGTGATGAAGAATAACTTATGTAATTTTGTGACTTCTTTATCAATAAAATTGAAGAACATTTATTTGAGCTACTACTCTACTCAGAAAATAGCAGTACAATTGCTTATTAATACTAGTATGTAATTATTTTTATAAATAATTGGATTAGTTATTAGGGCTGCATGTTACAACATGGCGAGAACAAGTTTCACCAACATTTTTTGGAAACGATTTCTTTTTTTTTTCTGTCATGATGTAATTTTCTCAGTTCACTCTATGCAGTTCAGCATCTCAGCCAGTCTGGAAAATTGCTCGAGTTTGTGAATTAAGGAATCTTGGAGCCCACATATGTGCTCTTAGAAATTACAATATGCCATACAATAATATTACGAAGTTAACTGTGATTCCATATATTGTACAGGGTATAATTTCAAGCAATAGACTGAACATGTCAAAAGTTAGCTTGGCTGCCTGCTCTTGTTTAACCTTTAGGAACTAATTTAGGTGCTAACTGCTGGACGTTTTAACAGCCAGTAGTTTAATCACTAATCAACTAACAGGAGAACAAGTAGCAGGAGCTGACACACTGATAATGTCACACCTACAAAAAATCCAACTTTATATGCCCAGATCTCTAAAATTAGCATAAAGAAAGCTAGGCTACAGAGCACTACACACATTTCTAGTTTTAAAAAGTTATAATTCTTTACATTTTCGACCAGCAAACAATGTATTGTTTCCCAACCTATTAATTAAAACATTACCTTTAATGTGTAATTTGAAGTCAAAACTTATCATATTGACAGAAATGAGTATTAAATTACAATAGAAGTTAGCCTAGGCTAACAGGATCTTAGCTTTGCTTTGATTCAAGTTAGTGTCATATTTAGGTTTTGAAGTCGAGTTTTAAACACATATCTTAAAACAATTTCAAAACGTTAATAAAAAAAAAAAGTCATGCAAGGTAGTACCCGTTTTTGGTGCCAAACTAGGCTATGTTCCTCCTGACAAAATTATCATCTTGATTGGAATTTGTTTTTATATATGTTTGTCCAGCAAAACTTTTAATATATTGCCCACACTCAGCCATGACATGCCCAATTAAGCCTAACATGGGAGAGAAAACTTGGCGATGAAAACAGATGGGACTTGCTGTATGTTAGACCAGAAGTCTATTCAATTCACTTCACTGTGTCTTTCACTAGTTTCAGACCTCAGCTGTTTTCTGGGGTCTCGGTCAGGTCAAGCAGTTTACAGGGGATCAGGTGGTTCACACACTGCTCATGTCTGGCAGCCTATCTTTTCTCAGGGAGGCCACAGAGGGCAGCGGTTAGCATTCGATGGTATGCTTTAATCATCGCTTGGTCTCACAAACTGACTGCATCTGAAAATAGATATGACTTGTTGAATATGTGTGTTGCCTGTATGTTTATGTTTCTAACATGAGACCTCTAGATGTTCTTCTCAACACTTTTGCTGTGAAGCAGTTGTAAAAGTGACAAGTGTGCTGTGCAGCTGCATAGGTGGTACTTTTCATCAATTGATTTTAGGTGAGGCTTTAAATTGTTTTTTTTTTTTGTTATATATTAAAGTTTCTGTTTAGGATGAAAGCTCCCCATAAATATACCTAAAACACAATAATGTGTCCAAAAATGCCATTGTCCTAATACATAAATACTTGTCAATAGCTTGTCTGTTCTGTGTTTTTTCTATATTTTTTAAACTGTATGACTAGTCTAACAGTAACCAGCTACCTAGCATACAGTGTGCTATGTATTTACCTCGCTGTTATTCAGTAGAATAGAAATTAAATGTATATTTTATAGACTTTTGTGTGCAGAGTAGTTTTGTTTGATGTCACTTTGTCAAGCTGACATTGTCCTCTAACTAAATTCATCCTGACTTTTACTGGAAAACAAAGATATTTTGCTGCATTCATTCATTATGTATAGATGCAAAGTTACATTAGAGGTGATAATGCAGAATTTCCATTTATGATTAAAGTTTGCATGGTGTTGATGCCTAGGTCATGTTTCTGTAGAAGAAATTCTCACTATTTATACTAATGGCAGGCTGACGGGTCACTTCAAAGGTATATGTCCCAGTGGTGAATCACTTCTTGAAATTCACATCAAGCAGATCATCTTGTCTCTTGGTTGCACAGTCAACAAAATGACAAGATCTCTGCTTGCACATTAGAGATTAGATATCAAAAGTGCTGCCAAGTTGTACGAGGGTCATTATTTATGCTTCAGTAACCAGTGTAGATGTTCTTCATCACTATTTTCTAATGCCTCCTTTAAAGCAACTCATTTTATCCCCAGTTTAACCCTTTATGCAAACATTTTCAGCATCTACTGATAATCTTAGTTGTCTAAGTCAAGACTAAACAAATACTAACTTTGTCATTTTACTGATTCTTCAAGCTAAATGTGTTTATAGTTTTTTCTTCACATCCCTTTGAAAAAAACCTCCCTGTGACTTAAAATGGTCATTGATACCTGTATCATAACATTTTTAATCAAATGAACAAATTCAAACTCAGTCGCATTACAAGATAGTAAAAGTCCAAGCTTTGTTGGTTACTGTGGTCTGCCATCGATATGTTGGGGCACAGCTGTGCATCGAGCTCAGATTTATTGCTATTGCATTCCTAAGAGTGAAACTGGACTTTGAAGATCTTCCTGGAACCAAGAGAGAAAATGTGAAAGCAGAGCAGCAGATTAAATTATTCAGCAGCATTTATTTACAGCGATGTGAGCATCTTGGTTATGTGGACTATTTCTGTTTTGATGATGCTCTGGTGCTGATGTTTGAGTTGGAGGCCAAGAAAATGTAGCTTAGCAAATATCTTTTCACCTTATAAGTTCAAACACGCACTCAGAGATTAAAGTGCATGGAGGGACTGCAGCTTGCACTTGTTTACCATGCATAGATGCAACTGAAAGACAAAAACAAGCTATTTCTGTACAGTAGCAGCACAATCTGCTGCAGTGTTTTTATTTCATTTTCATTAAACTTGAATCTTGACTACCACCGCCTCATATGACGATCAGCTGTTACAGAGGCAAGCCGGTGGGCTTTGGCCTTACTGCTGCTCTCTGCAGTATATCAGTGAAGATACGTGCAGCTGAGTTGATCCGCTTGTAAACTTGATTTATAGTTTTTCTGGACTCCATGTGGAATAGATCCCCTTCTCTCACATAGTTATAAAGTCATGTAGGGGCTATTGGTGTTTATTATCTGTAACTTTCTAAAATTAACAGTTAGAGACCCGTAATGCTCTTATTGTTAACAGAGCTCGTAACCTGTGCAGAACATGTTTGAATTCCTGAATCTACCCTCTTCTTTCACCTTTCTCTGATGGCCATTTACTCCAGCCTGTCTTGAGTTATTGCTGGTGGGATTCCTATAAAATAATTTGATTTGTTGTCCGTCTGAAAGCATACTCCGAGTAATTGTTCTGAAACCGTAGTTCAATTTTTACTTGCTGTATTTACGTACACTGCAGTGCCTTGTGGGAAATTACTTATATCGGTTCACTATTTCATATGACAAACTTCAATGCAATATATTGGAATTTTATTATATGGATCAGAACAAAATGGGACTTAATTGTGAA